TGGCAAGCCTTGGAAGAGTTCTACTTATTTCATTCATTGCATGAAATCTGAATTAATTGGAAGTGTGCTAATTTATGTAAATATAAAATCCCAATGACCAGCCAGTTTAAAACATTCATATTCATTAAATGCACAGTCAAAGTACAAAGTAGATATATTACCATCGAGTCTCAGTAGGTTTATTTGAGTAGCGAGCTATTCAATAGAACATGTTTGCTCATCTCAGTTAGGATGCCTGGAGAATCACTACATTTGGCTTAAAACTTGAGTAACAAACAAAATATTAGGCAGGTTTCCCACTTCTTATCATCTATCTTACTTTCCAGCCACTCAGGTTGGAAGTTGAAGGGAGATCATAAACAGGCTCTACTCTGATTGCTAATTTTATCACCTAATAGCCTGGTGACAGTCACTATCAAAGAATGCAGATCTACATAGAGGGTGTCTAATAACCCTGAAACACCAACGATTCAATCCCTTCAAGATGAGGAATCGAGTGTGACAACTACACATTCAGTTCACTTTGTAGCTAATTAATGTAGTCAGTTACAGAATTTTAGTTTTATTAAAATGCAGATTTGTGTCATGTTTAAGAGTACTGATTCACTATACAAATTTACTCCCAATCAGCACATGCCCCAAAATCAAAAATCAAAATCCCAGGCAAAAGACAAAAGCGCTCAGCAGGTTTGGCAGGAACTGTGAAGGGAGAAACATTTAATGTTGACATCATTTGGAATTGGAAAACGTCAGATGTAGGTTTAAGGCAATTGCATACAGATAAAAGAACAAAAGGCATGATTATGCAAGGCACAGTTAGGTCAACTCTCCCGCTCCAGGCAATGTGCTCATTTGTCTAAGGATTGCTGATCACGATGTATGTTTAATATCACTTTAGGGGAAGGTGAGGAGGCAAGCCCCAAGGACCACCTCAGTTGGGTCAGCAAATGAATCTACGTTGCTAGCATCATTTTGCACCAAATCGAGCCATCTAGCTAAATGGACTAACTGACAACATCATGGGATGTGTCTAAAGGAGATGTAAATATACAAAAAAAAAGACAGAAGGACAAAACAAAAATGGTGCCAGAGATTATGATGCGAGATTGTTGAACTAAAGAGAGTCTGGAAAGTCACAAATTGCCTAATCAAGGAATGAGATGCTGCTCCTTGAAGTGACCAATGATGCATCGAGATATAGAGTAGAGGGGAGAATTAAAAAGGATAGGCAACTGGAAGCTCAGATTAATGCTTGTTGACCAATGGGAGCACTCCACTGGTGATCACCCTATTTCTTTTCCGTCTCACTTCTGCAGATGAGATGAGAAGGTAAATTAGTAAACAAGGTACAAGTAATTGAAAGAAGAAATAGAAGTAAATTGCTCTCTTACATGAAAAGAATGCCTGGGGCCTTGGTCAGTGAACAGATGGGAGGTAAAATGGTAGATGGCTTGCATTTGGGTGGGATAAAAGTGCCATGGAAAGGAGTGAGGGTGTCACAATTATTGAGTGAAACAGAGTGCAGAGGAAACAGCCTCTTCAGAATGATGAGTAGAAGATGTCTTGAAGAGCATAGAAGATCAGGCAGGGAAAGGGAATGAAAGTAAAAGTGGAAGATGTAGCATGGACACAGCAGAGGATCTTCTCAATCAGGATACAAGCAAATAGAATGGAGTAGTTACAGGAAGTGATGTGTGAGAAAGTACAAAGTACAGTCAGAGTAGCAGTGTGAAGCAGTGTACTTATGGTGAATATTGGTCAATATGGAGACAGAGAAATCAAAGGAAGGAAGAACGAACCAAAAGGCGGACAATGGAAAGGTATGACAAGGATGAAAATTGGAAACAAAGTTAATGAAATTTTCAAATTTAGCGTGCAAGCAGGAATCTGTACCAGAAAAAGTCGTGAGGGAGACTATCAGAGCAACACTAAAGCAAAAGAATGTTCCATCTATCTCACGAAATGGCGAGCATAGCTAGGGATCATATGCATTTGATAATAATCATTTTTATCTAGAGGAACAGAGTGGTATCAAAAGGAGAAATTGTTTAATGTGAGAACAAATTTAACCAAGTGGAGGAAAGTGGCTGTGATTGAAAACTAGTTGGGTATCCATTCAAGCAAGTTGTGAAGAGCCTACAGACTGTCCTGTTGGGGAATCGTGGTGTAAAATAATCTGTCATCCACAGTGAAAAGGAAATGGTTGGGGTCCAGAAATTGTTAAAGTGGTAGGCAGCATTATCAGGGTTTGAAATGTAGGTGGAAAGGTCCTAAACATGGCAAACAATAAAGTCAAGTCGGAGAAAAAAAACCATCTCCTTGGAGCATGAAGAGGGTGAAATGATCAGTCTATTAAGATAATTCTATTTATGGATCTTGGGAGAGGTAGAAATGAGAAGTTTGTGGTTGGGGGACTATGAAGTGGGGAGCTATGAGGAGAAGATCTTCAAAGGAGGTAGGGTCAAAACAATATTGAAGAATCATAGTTTGATGCTTGGTTGTGAGGCCCTGATCTAGGAGCAGATGAGTTGGCATGCAGCTTCCACTGGTTGTTTCACCAAATACAACACACCAGGCTTGATGGCAACAATTGCATTTGATTTCTGTCTGCTGTGTTGTCTGCTACTGTTCCTCCACCTGTGCCCAACCATTCTTCTGATTGTCAAGGACTAGCTATTCTTCCATGCGTCCAGCTTAATATATTTTCATTGATTTCCTTTTTTTTTTGCAATTCATTCAGATACAAATAATGCAGCTATCAAGATTAACCATGAAAACACTTAGTTTATTCAATTTTTTAAAAAATTAATATTTGATTCCTTTATATCCCTTTTATCATTGCTGTACTGTGGCCTGCTCTTCATCATATTCTGAGTGGGGTCTGACACAGCCTCAGCAGTATGACTGTTGTATTCTAACCCTCTTGAAACAAATGCTAATATTGCATTTGCCTTCCTAACTGCCAACTGGACTAGCATATTAGCCTAGAGATCCTGAACTAGGACTCCCAAGTCCCTTTGTGCTTCAGAATTCCAAAGCTTCTCCCCCATTTAGAAGACAGCCTGTACCTCTATTCGTCTTACTAAAGTATATAATCTCTCACTTTCCCACATTGTATTGCATTTGCCACTTCTAGCCTGTTCAATTTTTTCAGCAGCCTCTCTGCTTCCTCACTACCTGTTCCTCCATTTATCTTTATGTTATCTGCAAACTTAGCAACAATGCCCTCAGTTCCTTCCTTCAAGTTTTAATGTATAACGTGAATAGTTGAGGACCCACACAGACCCCTGTAGAACTCCACTAATTACTGGTTGCCATCTTGAAAAAGACCCCTCTATCCCTATGTTTTGTCTACTGCCAGTTAGCCAATCCTCTATCTATGCCAGTACCTTGCCCCTAACACCATGGGTTCTTATCTTATTCAGCAGCTGCCTGCATGGCATCTTGTCAAATACCTTCTGGAAGTCCAAACAAGGCGTGACCTCCCGTTGATGAAACCTTTCAGACACAGCCCTATTTTTCCACGCACTTCCAAGTCTAAAATTTCAACTAATACGGAGGTCAGGCTAACTGGCCTACAGGTTCCGGTCTTCTGCCTTCCTTCTTAAACAGGCGTGTTACCTTAGCCATTTCCAGTCCTCTTGGACCCTCCCCGACTCCAGTGATTCCTGAAAGATCATCAATGCCTCAACAAGCTCCTCGGCCATCTCCTCCAGGAGGTCTGGGTAGTCCTTCTGGTCCGGGTTATTACTGCACCTTCTAGACCTTGCAGTTACCCCAGCATTTTCTCCTTGGTGATGGCCACCACACTCAACTCTGCCCCCCGACTCTCGAAGTTCTGGTATGCTGGTGTCTTCCACTCTGAAAACCGATGCAGCGTGCCTATTCATTTCCTCTACCATTTCTTTGTTCCCCGTTGCTACTTCCCCAGCCTCATTTCTTGTGGTCCAATGTCCACTCTTGCCTCTTTCCTATCTTTGAGATATCTAAAAAACAAATGCTGGCAATCTTCTTTTATATTACTCACTAGCTTACTCTCAGATTTCATTTTCTCCCCCCGCTTATAACGTTTTTTTAAAAAAAAAAAAGCAATCCTCTGCGAGTTTTTAAAGACTTCTCGATCCTCTGGCTTCCCACTAATTTTCATCACATTGTAGGAGTCAGTCAAAATGAATGTCATAAAACAGAGCTAGAAAGCAACAATATTTCAAGTTTATGGGTAAATTGAATCAGCCATGCACCAAAAACTCCAGATGTTCAAAAGTGATATTTCTTAAGTTACAAAGACAGAAAATACACAGCTACAAGTTCCGTATGAAACCACCTTATAATTGGTCTATTGGCACTAATGTGCTTTCTCTGTTATAAGCCTACAATGGTTAAGAGTAGCACTGTTACTGTTGAACAGAAATGTAGAAATCACTATTGTATGCAATCTATTTAAATTATTCAATTTAGCTAGCTGAGAGAATGCTCCTTCTGGTGCTATAAGTCTCAATTTCTGACAGAATGTTGTCATCATTTGTCTCACCACAATTAAGTTGTTATTTATTTTGAAATATTTATTGCAGCATATTGGTATAGTCATGGAATTATCTGAATGCAAAAGTACTGTGCTAGAAACTTAAGCTGTCAAGCTGAATTCCCAGTTGGGGTGATTTCCTTTGCCCTGCTCTCAAATATCCATGGCGCATTATTTTACATCATATCAGGATTGAGCAACTGGGCAGATGCAAAACAAAGCATTCAAAGAGCTGGAGGTGACCAACCACATATGGTTCAGCTGTTTCAAGTTAAACATGGGAGATGATGGTTTAATAGTAATGTCACATCACTAAAAAAATCCAGAAGCCCACTCTGAAGTCATTGGTTCAAATCCCACTTTGGCAAATGGTGTAATTTACATTCAAACAACAAAATCCAGAACTGAAAAGCTAGTCTTAACAATGGTGACTATGACAGCTGTGATTAATTCTTGAAAAAATCTCAGCCATCCTTACATCTTCCCTACATGTGACTCCAGATTCACAACTGGAAACAAGACCTCCGGGCTCAGCGGACACTACTACTGCACCAGGACGCAAAATGTTCACCATCAGTGGTTCAGCAGCAGGAGTACTGATCTGCTGGTTGGGTCCTAAAGAACATAGTTCCTAGATGGAGTCTGTGGCAGTTGTGAAGGAACTAACAAGTGGGAAAAACATATTTGATATCATCCTTGTAAATTTGCTGGCATAACGATATGGATGTTGGGTGAGGAATGGCTCAGCTTCAATGGGCTACGCTTGAAGAGGCCCTGATAGTCTGTGTCAAAACTCAGATAACTAATGTTAACTTGGCCTAGGTACTAGAGGGCACCAGCACTAAAACTCCCTCCTCCGGCTCCTAGTGCTTTGCAGAAGAAAAATTTGACACCAAGTCACATAAGGCAATATTACAGCAGATGATGAAAGGCTTTGTCTAAGAGCAAGGTTTCAAGGTACATTGTAAAAGGAAAAATCACGAAGAGTTGTAAATGTTTAGCAAGGGAATACAACAGCTGGGGTTTAGGCAGCCAAACAGCAATTACAGAAGGAGAGGGAAGAGGTCTTAGAGGGAAATAAATGATGCAAACTTAAAAATCAAGGCAAGCATTATTTGACCAGGAGCAAGTGATGGCCAGTGAGCACAGCGGTGATGCGTGAACCAGATTTAGTGCAGGCTAGGAGATAGATAGCAGAGTGTCAAGATGACTTCAAGTCTATAGAGTTGAATGTAGGAGAACAGCCAAGAGTGTGCCTAAAAGTCACGTTCAGAGGGAACCAAGGCATAAAGAAACATTTCAGCAGCAGATGAGCAGCGATAGGAATGAAGTTGGATGGTGTTACACAGGTTGAAATAGGTGGTCTTAGTGATGGCCTGGATATGTTGTTGAAGCTTACCGTGGGTTCAAATCTGGCAACAAAGTTGCAAACAGTTTCATTTAGTCTTGTCGCCAGACTGAAGGAATCAAGTCAGTCTTTAAAGAACAGATTTGAGTAGAGAGTGAAGAAGATTAATTCAGTCTTAAATTGGAAAGACGCCAGTACTAGATATCACGTAAGCAGCCTCAAAATTTAGCAGTGTTGGAGGAAGAGAGGTTGAGGTAGAGTTGGATGTCATCAGCATAATTTTGAAAACTAGGGTGCTGCCTCAGAATGACATCTACAAGGGCAGCATGTAGCTTATAAAGAGCAAGGGGTTAAGGGGGATCCACAGGTAACAGCACGGGAGTTAAGTCAAGACACTAGAATGGATACTCTGACTATAAACAAACAAGCAAAAAAGAAAAAAAAAAGACAGACAAGAAATGGAACCAGGGAGGGCAATCCCATCCAGCTAGACAACAGAGAGGACAGGCATTGTAGGAAAAAATGTTAAGTATGTTAAAGACTGCAGATAGAAAAAGCAGGATGATCTAATGGAATACTTTAAAAACACAAGCAGGACAACATTGGATAGCCAAAATTATTGGTTTTAAAACTGAGTGAGGAACAGGCGTGCTAATAAAACTGCTATAAGATGTTTTCTAAACAACTAATTTTGAAACAGGTGGGGCTTGATGCTAGGCGTCCCGGCTCAGAGGTAGATACATTACTACCGCACCACTAGAATTCACCTAAAATGAAATAAGTCATAAAGTAACTGTTTAGCAAAACCATATAGTTAGCTTGAAGTGGCGAGCGGAGTTCTACTTACCACTTAAGTCAGTAATACGATTGTATGATAAATTCAATCTCGTTAAATTGATAAGTCCATTAAGTCCTAAAGAGAAAATAGTATTTTTCAAAGTTATTGTTAACAGCTTTTATGTAGAAACATATCTTGATAAATGTATCCATATAAATTACACATTCACATTTTAATATTCTCGTATACTGGCAATTTATAAATTGGAAATTCTAGTTACAAAATAGTTGTTTGATTTTACTGCTCTGAAACCAGTAGCTAAGTATTATCGGAGCAACACATGTACAGTCATAATTAGTGGCGAAACATAGATTGTCAATTTTCAAGTCCATCATCCGATTTTAATACCCCAGGAACATCATGGACTAACATGGTTCTAAAACAAAACACAGCAATATGGCTACTGTGATCACCTCACTACGGATTAAGACACAGTCAGAAAGCCAATTTGGAATAAAAGAAAGATTGTTTCCTGACACTCCCAAAAATCAACATTGTGCATGTGGTAGGTTCTGTGGATGTACATTTTCACCAGCAAAAAAATGGCAGCATCTAAGTAAGCACAATAAATGTGAGCGAAAGGGATGGAATGACCTCAGGCAAGGATACTGTGCAATCACATTTTGCACACGTTAACTGAAAGTGTGTTTTGGGGTGTCATCAGACAATTCTTCAAATCAAATTGTCTGAAATGAAATTATAATTTTTCCCAAAGATATGGAAATTAGTCAACCGAGTCAAGCGTCATGAAACTTGCATCGGTTTAAATTGCCACTTGTGTGAGAAGTTGCACATATTGAACACTAAAGGGTTGCCTGCAAATGTCAAGTTTGCAAAGACAATGAAGTCAGACTAGGGAGTACACAAATAAACAAATGTTTCCATAGCTTGTTGGCAAAGAAGCAGAGTGAAAGAAAGAAAATGGATTTGTAAAGGATTGGAAGACATTCTCTCCGTCACCTCAAGATCTTGAAAGGCGGCATCACTGATTTAAAAAACATTGGGAAAACATTCATTCACCAAGAATTCATTATTGCTCAGGATACAAGATGTTGGCTAAACAGCCATGGTCTCAGGTTCAAATACGAGAACTCAAAGAACTTTTAAAACTGCATATATTTTATTTTCTTACTGTACTAGGTACTGTCACTGCTTAAACTTTATACCCGTGTTCTGGTGTGTGTTTGATGTCACATTTTGTGCCATTTTTACTCAGGGCCAGCAAGCAATAAAATTACTCTTCCACTCAAAAAAACTTTGTAAGTGGCTCCTTAATTTTGACTACTATGTTTTAATTGAAGTTGTGTGCAAAAAAGAGATTTAAAAATATTTGTTGTAAGTGACTGAGAGGGAGTTAAAAGGAGAGAAGCTGATTCTCCTTTTTGTAACAAGACACTTATACATCCAGAACAGGTGACTGCACATGATTACAGTGAATAATGAAGAAGAAAATGGAATCAGAGAGACATTCCTTTACACAGTGTTAAGAGTTTTATAGTACAGATGGTCCCTTGGCATGGTATGTCTGCGCTGGCTGTCTGAATAAGTTATCTTGTGGGAAAAATCTAACACCATTTAAAACATCACAAGCTTTTCTAACCCGAAACCTTGTCAGGTTCATACACAATTCTCTCAGTTCTAGCAAAAACTCAGTTTCTCAAGTATCTATTCCTACTTTCAACCTCTCAATTCTTGCAATATTTTAGTTAAATCCTATTGCACCTTTCCCATTAATAAATGTTCGTTCCACAAGAGAGTGGCCAAAACTGTATTCAATAGTTAACGGTAACATAAAACAAGGTCTGAAGTAAAGAAAACAAAGCAGAATCAGCACATCTCAACAATATGATAACGTCAATGTTTTACATTAGTTTCAGTGAAATGTCATTTACAAACCTTCTACTTTGGTTATAAAGTTACAAGATAGATTTAGTGTGTGTAAGGCCACCAATCTGTCCAATCCTTCAATACGCGTAATCCGATTGGAGGAGATATCAAGGTGTTGCAACTGCTGCAATTGGCCAAGGGCTTCAATTCTGGTGATTTGATTACAGTGAAGATTGAGCGTGCGAATCTTTGGGCTTAAAGGTACCTCTAGCAAGCTATTAAAAATTAAAACAAAATTAATTTGCATAAATTCTGGATTCCTGTGTTTTATAACAATATTGGAAAGACTGAACAAAAAAAGGAAGCAGAGAAAACAAGTTAATATGTTAAGTTCAGACTAGTCATCAGAATTTATTTCAAATATATACTAATAAATTAAGATTTATGAATTAGACCACAGTAAATCAGAATTTCAGGTGAACTGAATTTGTGAAGTGAGGATATGATCCTTTGACAGTGATCTACTATTACTTCTTGAATACATGTATTTGACAAATTAAATTAAATAAAATTAAATGAGCAAACAGTCTTTTTGTATTCGGACTGTCTTCACAACAGATCATATAAAAAAAATTTCGGAAATAAAAAGATTTGTACTTTTAAAAGGATTATTTTCCTAATTTAAAACTTTCCACCCACCTTTATAAGGGCACACAGCAGTTTTACCAAAAAGCCAAGTATTCTTCTTATTCACATAACCCAAACATGGAACTGGAAAAAAATCCTGTTCACTCTACAAAACCATATGTTGTTCGATCTTTAGATATTAGTCAACTATATCAAGAATTTTGAAACAAGTAGAGAAACACCATTAGATTGTAAAATTAACACCGAGGTTCACAAAATATCTTCTGTTTTACTTGGAAAATTTGTACCAATTTTGAAAATAATTTTTTGGGTGATTATTGGCTTTTTTAAAAAAAAAATTAAAAATCAGCAGGCGGTCTTATCCTTGTACTCAATGTTTATTTTAAATCCAAAAGCAAAGTATGTATTTCTACAAGCTCCAAGTTCCTTTTATATAGAATTTTTTGAGGAGGTAACAAAGAAATTAGACAAAGGAGAGCCAGTGGATGTGATGTACTTGGATTTCTAACTTCCTGCGCCACACAGGAGGCTGCTAAACAAAATAAAAGCCCATGGTGTTAGGACAAGGTAGCTGACTGACAGAAGGCAAAGAATAAGGTTAAGGGGGTCTTTTTCAGAATGGCAGCAGTGACTAGTGGAGTTCTCGAAGGGTCAGTGTTGAGACCTCAACTATTCACATTATACATTAACGATCTGGATGAAGGAACAAAGGGTGTTGCTGTTACATTTGCTAATGACAAAGATAGGTGGAGGGACAGACAGTGTTGAGGAAGTGGAGAGGCTGCAGAAAGACTTGAGCCAGGCTAGGAGAGGGGGAAAAGAAGTGGCTGATGGAGTACAATATGGTTAAGTTGAGGTTATACTTTTTGGTAGAAAGAAGAGAAATGTAGACTATTTGCTAAATGGGGAAAAAGCCTTTATAAATCTGGAGTCCTACATTAGGACTCTTATAAGGTTAACATACAGGTTCAGTTGGCGGTTAGGAAGTCAAATGCAATGTCAGTATTCATTTCAAGAGAGGTAGAATACAAGAGCAGAGATGTAATGCTGAGGCTGTACAAGGCTTTGGTCAGATCGCATTTGGAACATTGTGAGCAGCTTCCGTGTCTCAGGAAGGATGTGCTAGCATTGGACAGTTTCCAGAGGAGGTTTACAAGAACAATTGCAGAGATGAAGGGCTTGTCATATGAGGAGCAGTGAGTACTCTCGACCTTTACGCGATGGAGTTTAGAAGATTGAGGGGAGGATGTGATTGAAACTTAGGAGTACTGAGATTTTTGGATAGATTGGGCACAGAGAAGATGTTTTCACTTGTAGGAAATACTAGGTCCCTAGGGCACAGCCTCAGAGTGAAGGGACAACCCTTTAAAACTGAGAGGAGGAGGAGGAATGTCTTGAGCTAGAGGGTGGTTAATGTGTGGAATTCATTGCCACAGAATGCTGTGCAGGCAAAGTCATGGAGCATATTTCAAGATCAAGAGCGTATTTCAAGATTACATTCAAGTTAGCTAGGTTCTTGATTGGTATGGGCATTAAGGGTCATAGGCAGAAGGCAGGAGAATGGAGTTGAGAAACATCTCAGCCATGATTGAATGGCAGATCAGATTCATTGGGCCAAATAGCCTAATACTGCTCTGATATCTTATGGTCTTATAGTCGGCTTCGTACATAAGAGAGTGTATGTGACAAGCATGGAAAGGATTAAAAGCATAGACATTGATGAGTAAATAATGGAATTGCTAGGGGATGTGGAGTAGGGAGGGAAGGGAACTGGGGAAAGAGAGACAATTGAAAACCCAGCCTAAGAATTTTTCTTCAGTATCACTTTTAAGAAAAAGCTTATTTTTGACTTGAGGCAATCAGGACAATTTTCAAGAAATACCAGGTAAAAGGGAAGTCATTAAAATGCTAATTTTCAAGACATATCTTTGATAAGTCAGTAAAATTCAACAGACTTTTCATGTGATTTAGCTGCCCTTCTCCAATAATTAAACAAACTGTTTTAACAACACCACTTGCAGTTTCAGAGCGGAATACCAGAAAATAAGTTAGAATAAAAATTCTATCATAATTGTACCAAAAGGGTAAAACTCAGATCCTGTAATTTGAAAATGGCAGAGTTATTAAAGCCATTTGTCAGCACGTTGGACAGACAGACTTGTCATATGATGAAAACTAAACAAGGACATTTAATAAAGCACATTTTTGTAATGTCAGAAATTAAAGTTCTTGACTAGAAAAAGAACAATACCTTATCTAAAAGCTATCAATAGGCAGAGAATTTGGGTTGGCCTCTATGTGAGGGAGTTGAACCAGGTTCTCGTTAAAGAGATCGGAAATGCACTTCACTGAAATGGAACAAATCTGCCACTGCAGCGAACAAACCACAAGAAATTAGTCTTCTTAAAATCTATTCTTTGTGGACCAAAATAGAATCACAGGCGTCCAATGTTTCAAGACCTCATCTTGAGAAAATAGTTTGATGGAGAACTCTTGAAATTGTAGGACCAAACTACATACCACCTTTAGTAATGGCAAATTTTTCTGAGTGTGTATCTGCATCTGTATGCATGAGTGTAGCTGCAAATATTCTTTTTTGAAACCTATGAGAGAACTTGTCATTTGTGTGTGTTGTAACTGATGAGAACATGTCTCTGGTTGACCAAGAAATTGGAAACAGGGGTAAGATTCCCATCGTCTCTCACTCCTGCCTGTAACAAGAGCTATTTGTGATCTATTTTGCAGTGGAAGGGTAGAAGTTTCCTGCTGTCATGTATTCTGGTCTTTAGCTAACAAAGGAGATGGCAGAGACAGGTGTTGTAATAGCAGCAAAATAAGGGTAAGAAGCAATCCAAGTTAAAGAACACATTAGTTAGATTCAAGATAATGCAGCACAAATTTGACAAGTCTAATTTTAGAAAACAGTTTGGAAATAGTAGATAATAGTGAAAGTTAGAAGTAGGCATGGGCACGGTTTACACCAGTTTTGAAGGTCAAGTATTTTCTCAGATACTGTTTTCAGTGAAGACAAAAAAAACAGATGATTTCAAGGAAGGCAAGCATTGGGGATCTCTGAAGCCTTGGTGGGAAAAGAAGATCTACATAAGAGTGAAAGTGTCAAAAGGTGTAAAAAGGTAAAGGCTAAGAGAAATACTGAAAGATCAATGAACTGCTTTTCAAGATGTTTAACATAATTAATGACAATTAATGTGAACTTAGATGGGAGCTGTGTAGCCAAAAAAGGCAACATTAATAATAATAATGTTAGACTCACTAAATTTTGATCAAGTTCAAATAGGCCAATGTGTCATCCTAGATGAAGGTTTAGGTAGAGAGAGAATTTTACATGCAGAGGAAATTGGTATGCTCAAGACTGCAGTACAGAAATAAAGGATGTTCAGAGGTTTACGCAGAGATTAATTACTACAATGCTGTACAAGCAAGTTAATTAATTGTTTCAATTTCTAGAGCTGACCTCATTTTTAGAAGTGTACATCCAGATAAGAGTTCTTGTAGCACAGTGATAATGTCCCTGCCTCTGGGCCAGAAGGCCCTAGTTCTCATGACTTGTCTGAACAAGTTGTTTCAAAAATACTTGCATTCCGAATAAATCACTTCTGTTTTCCTACTTCTAACTTTCACTATTATCTACTATTTCCAAACTGTTTTCTAAAATTAGACTTGTCAAATTTGTGCTGCATTATCTTGAATCTAACTAATGTGTTCTTTAACTTGGATTGCTTCTTACCCTTATTTTGCTGCTATTACAACACCTGTCTCTGCCATCTCCTTTGTTAGCTAAAGACCAGAATACATGACAGCAGGAAACTTCTACCCTTCCACTGCAACCTTAAAATTTCAAAATTTGAGACATCAGGGAACACAATAATACCACTTGATTAAAAAAAGCAAATATACAGAGTCAACTTAATCACAGTAATCATTTATTCATCTAGCAAGTGGGTATATTACATTTAGTAGAATGGTATGCTGTAGCAATAGTGCCCCTACCTCTGGGCCAGGAGGTCTGGATTCAATGCTGTGTCCCACTGTGACATCACATCTGTGAACAGGTTAATTAAAAATACCTAAAACAACTAGTGCTCTTCATGCAAGAAGATTTCAACTTTTTTTTTTTTTTTATAAAATCTCTGGCACCTCATAACACATCAATGTCACTGTCTCAACCTGTCTTTACATTTATTTGCGAGGGAACTGGCAGATGTCTTGCATTGTTTTAAGAAAATTATCTTCAACAAAGCTGATTTTCATTGTTAAGACATCTAATTAATTAGCTGTTCAACATCCTGGAAAGCAATTCATTCACATCATTGTGAATGAGCACCAGCTTGAAAAACTTAATTAAGGTAAATGATTTCAATAAATGGTAGAATATTTTAAAAGCAATGGTGTCAGCAGCAGTGATTAACTGTTGAAATAAAGCAATTCTAGTAATAATTGCCTAATTGCTGTCAATTTATTATTCATTTTAAGAATGACACATTTATTAGTACATTAGACATAAAACGAGCAGACCAACTGTTTGCCAAACTTGGAAGTGCTAACTAAGAACAGGGAAAATGAATGAACCTGACTTCAGTCCATGCCCACTGCAACATGATGAATGTCATTAACAAACAACTTCAATGTCAAACCAAAGAATCTATCGTAGATATACTTTTCTTTCAGCTAAACTTAAAGGAACTATTTCCCAGAAGAAATTAAAGTTAAAACTGTTCAAATATGAATTAAAAAGGCACTACTGGACTAAGGTCAAGAAACTAGAAAAATTAAACATCCAATTCCTCTTCCAACTCTAGACATAAATCAATTAACAAATCAGAAAAGTTTAATGCACCCAAAATTTTCAGGAAGTGTCTCAAACTGGGAAAAATATCTTGGCCTAAATATTCTGATGGCCAGATAGTCATTGCAGCAGCACAGGCTGAAGTTGAGTGTCAGGACCTTGCTGAAGCCCAGACACAGCAAACTCTATGGCAATTGCCTGGGAAATTGAATTTTGCAATGGGCAAATCACTTGCACCTGGAACCCTTCAAAAGAATCCATTAAAGTTGGAGAATTTGGAGGATTTTGCTTCAGTTAATCTAATTACCCCCAGGAAATGTTAGAGGATTAAATCCCAGTCTAACTCCTGGCTAACTATTTATTTGATATCTGCCAGTTCTTTTGTGCTGCTGGATATTTAAATCCCAGAATACAACACAAACACTGCTGTAAAAGAGGGCCTTGTTTGGCTTCCTCTGACTATTGGGCATTACAAGTAAACTGTTTATATTCAGTTATGTTCTGCATTTCTGAAGCGGCCAAGATGAGAACTGCTGGCTGGAAATGCAGAGCTCAAGCCTAATGGAAGAAGCTAGGAGCAGAATGGTAATCTAACTGTGATTACCACTCCTGAGTATTTATTCTTTAAAACAGTGGCGAGTGGATTGGACACAAAATCACTTCAAAAGAAAACTTTCTAATAGGAAAAAACAACAGGTTATTTTTGTGTGGGCCAAACTTCCAAACAACATTCGTCAAATGTTAGCTTAGATTAGCAAGAAGTGCTGCCTCCAAGTTAGAAGATAATAGATTCAAACCTCAATTCGTCAGCTGGAACATAGGGCCCAAGCTAACGCTCTCGTATCGTTCCTTATCAAAATGTTATCTTATGAATGAAAAATTAGACAGGACCTATCTGTTTAGCTTGATGTCAAAGATCTCATGGCTTTATTCAAAGTTGACCTGGAAAGTTCTCACTGAATCTTAGCCAACATCTATATCTTAAATAAAAGACCTCAATACTGATTATCAGGCTATTTATCTTAAAGTGAACAAACTGGCAGCCTTGTTTACAAAGTAGCAATTCAGAAAGCAATTTTTGGCTGTGAAGTGTTTTGGATATTCTGAGGATATGAAAGGTGCAATAAAAATGCAAGCTCTTTGTTAGATTTAAACTATTCAACTGCTTATAAAACGAAGCTTGGCCATGCAGTTGCTGTTTAGTCTTCACAATTGGTAAATATTAAAACAGTAGCAGAAGAATCCAGAGGCAAATTAACACTGACAGGTTGGAATGTAGATATTTCTATAGATTAGTCCTATATGGCAGGAGGCGTTTCCTCACAACCCATATAACAACGGATGAAAGGACGGTACTCATACCCAAATGGACACAAGAGGTTTGCAGGATAATTCATGAAACTGTCAAGCATGGATTTTGGACCATACAGCAACTGACACAGAAGCTAAATTGGTACCATTAAATAAATAATTCACTCACTACTTTAACCATGAAATAGCATGTAATATATTGACTCATACAGGTTGCATTTTAGTCTTTTTCCTTAGAACTACCATTTACAATTAGCTTAACAGATAATCTATTCCATTTCTGCCAGTGCCACTTTTCAACATTTCTGCAGAAGATATCAGAATGAGCTGGTCCAATCCGCCTTGTCCCACAAAACAGTGTTTCATTACAACTTTCAGTACACAGGAAAGCTGACATTACGATCTCAACAGGTGGGAAAAGTCTAAGGAGAGACACTGCATGCTTTCATTGAGTGATAAAGTACATTTGTATACCAGCATTCAGAGAGCTGCCATCTAAGCCAAGCCTTTTAGAAGACAAGTTGAAACCAATTCACAAAATAAAATGAGCAATTGGACAAATCCAGTTATAAACTTCCAAGTAGCCAGCTTAACATGAGGCTTTGAGCGAAGTTTGAAAGAAGACCTGTTTACTGAGTGTTAACTTGCTTGGGATGAATTGGTAAAATTATAAAAATAAAGCAATAAACTTCATTTCATTCTTCATTTTAAAAAAAAACTTTAAAACAAGACTACAAAACATTTTTAATAAAAGTACATAACTAATGTACGATGAAAGACGATGACACTTCACAATCATTTGTTTTACTTGAGATTGTTGGGTACATGCAATGGTTTCCTTGCTTGACTGGAACAACATTATATGCCAGTAAAAGTCAGATCAATCCTCTTCACTTTAGTGGATTTACATAATGTTTTACTAGGAAAAAAACTAACGTACAGTTTAAGAATGTTTATCTCTTGCTAGATAGTCAAAGTTAGCATAAAATACTTTTTAAAAATCTAAGATCCATGAAGAAAAGTTCTTCAAACATTAGAATATTTAATACAGTAGAAAATACTCATGTACCTGGCAATAGTCTTATCTATCAAACACAGCTCGTGTGATGATTGATCATCATATGCCATTCCACTTCATTATATAGTACAACCGTCAGCTATTGGAAAGCTAAATGAGAAGGGAATAAAATTCAATTTACTTAAATGCTATTGCAGCAGATAAACTGCACAGTCCTTGAATGATAAACATATACTTTAACTTACTACTTCATTTTCTTGGAAATACGGTTCTACTGTAATCATTCAGCTTAAATTACAGAAATAAAGTCACAATGTGTTCAGTTTAATCCTAAACAGGTAATTATTTAGCACATTTTAACAAAATAAAACATTCTCTAATAAAAGCCACCAGACCCTTTGCAGCAAGAGGAGAATTTGGAAGAATAACCAAAAATACAGTCATCAAAAAATACTGTTTAAAAGACAAATTGAGGAAATTTTTTTTTGCTAAATACTTCCATACCATTATTTTGCAAGTCAGTAACCTGCTACTAACCAACTTAATTAACATACTAATACAATGAGCCAGGTTCAAGTCTCAATTAGTCCAGAGGTGTACAATGACATCTCTGAATAGGTGGATTAGAAAATATCTAGTCTTCTTATCCCCTTGATCACTAAGCATGCTTGTCTCCACCTCTGCCAGTGAATCTTTAACTTTTTTCCTTGCTGGTCTCATCTTCCTTAAACTTCCCCTTGTTTAAACCTCTGCATGATTCCTATCCTGCACTAATTTCCAAATGTGTACCAATCCAATCTTTTTAACTCTGTTTCAGAGGTAGTAGGAACTGCAGATGCTGGAGAATCAGATAACAAGGTGTAGAGCTGGATGAACACAGCAGGCCAAGCAGCATCAGAGGAGTAGGAAGGCTGACGTTTCGGGCCTAGACCTTGGTTTTCTGACACACTGTGTCATTGCTTTTCCTATTCTGCCATTAAAGTCAACACTTTTTCTTTTATCATCCCATTGAATAAAAACTCATTTCTTACCATTTTTCTTTTTGATCAACCATTTCTCTGTTGTGTTAATTTTCCCATTGTACGTAATGAAAGCCATCAAGCTGTTTTTCATGCTAAAGTTTCTTGATGAATGGAAATTTTTTTGTGATTTTTAAACTAGTGTTAATATCAAATGACTCTCATTTAAGTGTCTCTTAAATGAGTTTTTCTAATTTGAAACATTTTGGCAAGTATTTGTAATTATAAAGTAATATTGTTATTTAGTAATGCTATTTTTAAAATCACAAAACTAATCAAAAAGAGCCCCTGGGAATGCAGTCGGTTGTAATTGAAGCAAGCAACAATTGTAGGACCGAAACACTTGCATTACTTAAAAACATTAGATGCTGCCTGGCCTGCTGTGTTCCTCCAGCTGCACATGGTGTTGCATCTGCAGTTCTTTCTATCTTGGAGTGATTCAGATTAATACTGTGATTGGGGACAGGGAGCAAATTAAGCAATACAGGAACAGAGTTTGTAGAGGAGGCTGCAGATAATGGTTTTAACTTTCCCCACTTTCAAAAGAGAAGGAAGCGGAGATTCATTTAACACTGGAACAGAGAAAGTCAACAGATGAAGGATTGGTGATTATCTGTGTAATGTGGAAGCTGGATAGTATCTACAGTTGATGTTGCTGTGGTCAAAGCTCAGCATGAAAGTAAGGCTGAGAAGATTGGAAAACAAGGATCACTGGCAACTCCAGAGGTGAAGGTTAAAACTTCCCAACTACACAATATTTTTCCTCTATTGACTTCCAAATATTTAACAGCTTATTTAATTTGTTATTATGTTACTTTTTAAACTTTCAGGGTTAAGAGAAATCACTTGGTGTTGTTGATTGTGCTGTAACTGATCAGAGGTGGAGATGCTGATTTCTGCCTGACTGAACTGCTGGGGATTAACTGAGTCTTCCAGTCATGGAAAGCAACAAGTGTATGTTGAAGCATTAGATACAAAAAAAGAGACCCAGATGTACATGGTTAAGTACTGGATGAGAAAAGACTGGTGAAAAAAAAAAAGTAGATTGAAACAATTGGTCTGGAAAAACATTCACCCACATACCTAAAAGGTAAGAACGAGCTGTGTAAGGTTGGGAAATAATAAGATGTAAGGAAAGGAGGCTTGTGAAGCAGTAGAATATCTGATCAGTGACAAGCAATTATCAACAAAACAATGGCCTGGTATTCAGCAATGAGTTCATGGGCTGAAGGGAGATTGAAGGAATTATTAGAAAGAAAAAAGTCGCACCACCGAAACAGTAGCATTCTCTTCGCATTAAACTGTCAGCCAGATTGCGTTCTGAAGTCCCAAGTGTAGCAATGAACCGTACCTCTTGACTCAGAGGAAAGAGCGCAACCACTGATGCAGGCTGACAGCTAAGGTATCTTGAATAGTAGGTAATAGAAGGTCTAAATTCAAAATAGGAAGGTTGAAACCTCAGCTAAAGTCAATGATTCAGAGTTGGAGACAGGTGTTGTGATTGAACAATGACATGGCTATAAAAGCAGCTCTTAACAAATGCAGTCAAAGGAGGAATGAGATAACAATTAAAAGGTGAACAGGATTAAGACAACAATTTATGAATAGAACAGAAATGGGAAAAGGAATGGAACTTTGACAAAGTTTCCAAATATAAGCCTTGAAGAAATCCGGCAATACACCTAACATAAATATTTAGATACTAACTCCATCCCCTTCTCTAGTTACTGTCCAAGAATTGAACCAGACTGTTTGCAATCTTGGAATCCTATCTGACTCTGGGCCAG